GTGAGCAGATGGCTGCGGCGGCTGAACAACTTGCGCGCGTTGTCCAGAGTCATGATTGGGGTCGAGCAGTGTCCACAGCCGCTCAACAAGCAGGGCTAACGCATTCTAACAGCATGAATCACATTCTCAATGGTAATACTCGGCCCTCTCACAACTTTGGCCGAGACATCAATGGCGGAGCTGCAACAGTAAGCGTGACAGGTGGCACGGTGACAGGGACTATACCACTCGGCAGTTTTACTTTACCACTACCCTTGCACTCTCATCCAGATCATTCTCACCACCACTCCCATAGCGTCAACGTCAGTGAACCGGTTTACTATACTGGAGAAACCACCATTGTCACCTCTCGCATGGGCGACAAGTCTAATGGGGATGAGGGCGTCTTGGACGATGAATACTATAGCGATGATGGAAGGATTTCACGGAATGACATGTCACTAAACAATAATGCGGCCGGGTGCCGACATAATCTATCGGAGCAAACCAGCAACGATAGCAATATGGGTATAAATCATAGCTCGCTACCAGCGCCCTCAACTGGTACGAAGAAAAAAAAGAAAAACAAAAAGAAGAAGTCGGTAAGTAATCGATCTCTTTTACCACTATCCATCATGATGGGATGTCTGTTCATGTTTTATCACCCCTTGTGAATTTTCACAGGCCAATGCTAGTTCGAACGAAGCGGCTCCTAATCCAGAGCCGGTCCCAAACGTATCTCATCATCGCACCTCAGTTCCTTCTATCCCACATCCGTCTAAAAATTCTACACAACCACCTGGCCGGAACCCTTGTTCAGAACCACCGAATCATATGGCTAATCAACCTCCAATATCAAGATTACCACCAATGCCCAACAATGGCGTATCCAAGAAAAAAGCCTCTGGGCTTCCTGCTACAACTGGCGTGAGGGACAACCATAAACCGGCTACTTCAAACGTCATTCCAAATCACAATCCATCACATCCACCAACCGAACGCGAGCGGATTCGAGACTTCTGGCTGACCTTGAATCAAGAGGAGCGCGCGAACCTTGTGAAGATCGAGAAGGATGCAGTGCTCAAAAAGATGAAAGAACAGCAGCGGCATTCATGTTCTTGTGCAGTATGTGGAAGGAAACGACTGGCAATCGAGCAGGAACTGGAAGTTTTGTATGATGCGTATTACGATGAGTTGGAGAACTATGCTGAAGCGAGTAAGAAGTACTACGGCTCTGACTTGAAGATGAAAGGCGTCAAAAGTCCAGTTGGGTATCCCAAACCACCCGGTCCTGGCCCATTCCCTGGCAGTGTGGATGTCATGACGACTAACGTTCAGCCAACGAACAATCAGTCATCTTTGAAAAAGGCAGTTCCAAAGCCAACGCGTGATCACAAAAATATCCGACCTCGTCCTTTACCTAATTCACACCAGACACATCCGCCTATACAATCTGTAAATTCAAATTCTCCATACCCTCAGCAGCCGCCAGGAAAGCGGACGATACCGCTTCCACCTCAACCAAAAAAAGCACTATCTCATAATAGCAACAGTGACCAGGATCACACACACTCTCCAAGCTGTCCTCATCATCCCCATCACCACGGACCCAACCACTATCATCACCATCCGAATACAAATACCCACGGTAAAGCCGTCTCGAATCATAACCCTTCTCTATCTTGTCATCAGAGGTCGCAGCATCATGTAGAAGATGACATGTTTCCGGATGACGATGGCGATGAAGAAGAGGAAGAAGATGAATACGATGAAGAGGACGAGGATGAGTACGAGGAGGTTGGTTCCATCATTTCATGCGATTTGAAACTTTCTCTCTGCTGTGCCTAGTACAGATGCGCCCTTTCCTGGATCTTAAGACTTGATGTTGACGACCCATTGTTGTTCTTTTGTGTACCTATTAGGAAGAAGAGGAGGATCAAGAGTTCGAAGACGATGATGAGATACCCGCCCTAGAAGAAGTTCCTAGCGAAGTACCTAATCCTGGAACAAAGAAACCTCAGATGAATGGTAATCTCTCGTCTTATAACCCAAAGGTCACCAACGGAGATAAGCCCAATACGACGAATAACAATAGCGATCTGTTTGGATTTGGGAATTCGCTCACTGTCAAAGGTCAGTAGCTTCTTTTCCTTCATTTCCTGCCTGTCCTGAACAATCATCCTGAAACCAGCAAGTTGCAACACTCTGAACACAACGTGTATTGAGCTCATTGCGTCCTTTTTCTCCCATTTCACATTCCCTTTTCCTCTCAAATCATCGATTTGATTCGTCTCACCACCTGTTGCGTGAAACCTTGATCTCACACTTGCGTCCCGGTCCAGGAGGTATCTTGACCGTTGCGGATGATCTGTTGCGAAACGATGGCCAAAAGTTTTTGGAAATGATGGAATCTTTGGCTGATAAACGGATACAGCGCGAACGGGATGCCGCTGAAAATCTTCTTGCTGGTCTAGACGATGATGAGGATGATGAAGAGGAGTACGATGATGACGAGGAGGATGAAGATGAAGATGAGGTGAGCATTGTTTGCATCAGTATATTGGATTGAATACTTATGACGACATTTCTCTCTATCTTGACGGGTTCGTGGTACAGCTGGATGATGATGACGGGTTTGACGACGAAATTGTCACCGAGGAGTACCGCATGAAGGAAGGAAGGCGGATGTTTCAAATCTTCGCTGCTCGGATGTTCGAACAACGTGTCTTGACTGCTTACCGAGAAAAAGTTGCACAAGAAAAACAGGCTCAACTTCTCAGGGAGCTGGAAGATGAAGATCGACTTGCTCAAGAGCGTGAATTGAAAAAAGTCAAGGATGCTCAGAAAAAGAAGGAGAAAAAGAAAGCTCAAAAGCAACAAAAGGATCAAGATTTGGCTAAGAAACTCAAAGATAAAGAACAAGAAGAATTGGCTGCGAAAGCTGCAGAGGAAGCTAAACTTGAAGCTGAGAGGCGTAAGCAGGAAGAAACGAGGTTGAAACGCGAGGCCCAAAGAAAAGTTCAAGAAGCGGAACGTGCCAAGAAGGAGGAAGAGAAAAGGAAAAGGATAGAAGAGGAAGCAAGGAAGAGGAGGGAGAAGGAAGAAAGGCAGAGGTTAGAGAAAGAAGCCAGAGCAGCGAAAGAACGGGAGGAACGCGAAAAGAAAGTAAAAGAAGAACAAGAACGAAAGATGAAAGTTGAGGCAGATCGGAAAGAGAAGGAAGCTCGAGAAGCCCGGGCTAAGGAAGAAGCTGAGCGTTTGCGGCAAGCGGAATTGGACAGAAAAGAGGCGGAAGAGATAGCTAAACGCGAAGCAATCAAGGTGCGTTGCCACTCTTACGATCATACTTGTCTCTTTCTTCTTCATCTCTAACTCACTTCTCGTTTTCCTAGACGGCTGCCGCAAAACTCGCAGCGCAGAACAAGAACGCTGCCGCTATTGCTGCTGCTCATCAAAAAGCTCAACCACGCCCAGTGGTTTCTCTACGTTCAACTCCTGCGAAGCAAACAGCTCCTCCGCCTAAAGTCTCGCCTGTCCCACCTGCTCAGCCGTTGACGCCCGTCCCACCTTTCCCAAATCACACGCCTAGTCGACCGATCGCACCTCCTCCTACCTCAATGATGCCTAGGCAAATGTCTGTAGGGATCGGATTGGGACGACCGGCTTCAGCAGCTGCTGCCCCGCCTTTCTCGGCTGCTATACCCTCGATGCCTTCGTTTAACAATGTACCTCCAAGGCCTCCTAGTGCCCAGTATGGAGCTTCAACGTTCCCATTACACAATACATGCGGTCCTTCGAACTTACAAAACCTACCGCTAGAGATGCATCCTGCTCTCAACAATAATGTGCCGCATTCTGCATTTCTTCCCATGGCCAACTTCCAACCGCCACCACCTATGAGTCCGATGATGCAACCGAACGTGGGTCGTGTGTTCTCGGGCCCTGCACTTACCACTTCGGCTGCCCAACCACAACTACAGATGCCACATCGACCCAGTGTGATCTCATCGTTACCACCGTCGACTCCTACTCATCCTAGTGGTTTTATGAGTCCAAGCCTCGCTTCAGCCACTAGTCCGCTCAGCGCTTTGCACCTCGGCAGTGAGCCAGTCAGGAAAGCGAGTGCGAGTGCTATTGGTCCAATCGGTCCTTCATTGCTCCACAACCGTCGCAAGTCTGTGGTAGACGATAATTTTACACATGCTGGACTATTTAATTCCATTGAGCCTATCGGCCGCTCAAGGATGAACGGTTCTATGCACACGATGGGTCCGATCAGTGGAAATAGCGATCAAGATTCCAACTCGATCTCTACTGGAACCTCACCTCGTTCACCTTCAAATGTATTGGGATCTTCAGCCTTATTGGCGGACGAGGACGATGACCTTGATAGCGACTCGACTCACCGACAGGGTATTCCTTCCAATCCTCCACCTGTCAATCCCATTGCCATCTCACCGGCCAAACCCACATCGTTCTTCTCACCTGCTTCACTTGACGGTGGGCTTGGGGTGGGGAGTAGCATCTGGGGAGCCACACCATCTTCGATCACTGGTGCCGGATGGGGTTCTTCTATGCTTTCTAATCAGACACCACCTCATGTGCCATGTACGCCTCTACAATCACATCTTCCATCGATTCCACCTATCATTCCATCTTCAGTGGGTAATAGATCAGCTTCGATCAAAGAAAGTACGTCTGATTGGATTCGAAGACGAGCGATTTCAGCATATTGTAATATGGGATTAGATGAGAAATGGATTCCAGTGGGAGATATTTCGATTGAGATGCAAAGGATTCATGCAGATACGATGAATGTAGGTTTAAAGGATATGGTAGATGCATGTCTTATCAAACGAAATCTTCAAAATGGTGGTGGGGATTGGCAATTTAGTCAACAAGGAACTGTTTTATTTGCTCGTTGGTTACCATCTGCTGGTCAAGAAACGAATGTTCATTGTAATGGTTTGAACAATGTGAATGGTTGATGAAGCTTCACGATCAAATGGAAATTCACCAGAAAAAACAGAAACAGAAATGATTGTGGATGTCAGTGCTTGTGTGTGTGTTGTGGTTTGTGGTTTGTGATTGGTCACTTGATTTGATTTTAATTTTCTTTATCAAGAGATTTTCTTAACGAATTAAAATCTTTACATATGATTTATTGTTTTTAATTTGATTGTAATTTTGAAAACTTGATAGATTTCAATTTGTAAGCTATCTAAACATCAATATCAACACATTTTAAGATTGATCACTTTGGCTATCACATCTGACAACTATTACCACTACTGTCACTACTATCACTACTAAATTGTTTTTTTTTGGTTTTTGGTTTTTTTTGGTTTCTTACTTTTTTTTTTATTGATTGATTGGCTTTAGAGATGGATGAGACGAGTTAAACCAAAAAGAAATTTTTTTCTTACTTTTTTAAGTTTTATATAAGGCGTAGATAGCTAATTATGAAAAGAATCATCTTACATTAGCTCTTTTTTTTTTTTTTGAATATTTTGAATTAATATTGGTTCTTTTTTTTGGATACAACACTACCTTTGAACAGATGCAAATTCTGTTTGTTTGTCTTGAAAAAAAAAAACTTTGAGAACGAATGTTTTGATGAATTTTGTGGAAAATATCATGGTTATTTGTTTTGTTGTAGAGAACAAATTGAGGCATGTGAGTATTTTAAATGAAGTGGGGTTTTTTATCGTTGGGATCGTAATGGATACTTGGTTGCTTTTAGCTGGTAAGCTGTTTTAGATACATGCATTTAGAGAAGGTCAAGAGGATTTTTTGGGTCAGAAGGTTTTGATCTTCATTCCATGAGAGCAACTACGACGAGTCAGGTAAGTCAAAGACCAGAAACGCGTTTTGGTGGACTTTAGGCCATTGAGCGCATGAGAAAAGAAATGAAATTGAATTTCTTTTCGAACGGTGACCAAAATAGAATGTTAAATTGGTTCAAGAGTTTGTAAGATCAATGATCATTCAAAACTTATAGATTTGGTTGAATTAATCTTTGTAAGACAAAACAGATTGTAAATGACTTTTACAAGGTTATTTTCTTTTTGAGAAGGAGAGAAGAAAGCAAGTTTGACGGTTAAAGTTAATTCTTCTTGGATGACATATGCTTGGTTCTGTGGTTCAAGAAAAGAAGGATTCAAATAAACAAAAATGGTTAACTTCAAGTTCATTAATTTGAAGAATAGATCTTGGTAAATGGACCACCAAAAAGAAATGACTTAACATGTTCTCTTCTAATTCTGATAATTTCTTTTTATGTTGATCTAATTCAGATTTAAGTTTTTTTAAATCTTCAGCTTCCTTTGTAAAAAGAAAAAACAAATCATAGAAACATCAAATGAGTCTTTTTCTTAAGAAGAGTTTGATACTTGAGATGAGAAGAGATATTGAACCTTTTGACGCATATAACGAGTTTCTTCACTACGTTCTTTTTGGGCAAAGTCTTGACTGTTAGCAGTTGCTCCTGGATGATCAGAACTGATGAAGACCAATGAGAAAGGATAGGAAATTGATCAGATCAACTTGAATGAACAGAAAAGTGATGATAGATGACTTACTAGGTTCTTATGATTGAAAAAGGTAAAGTAGTCTTTGTGATCGAAGAATGGATGGGTAAAAGACGTCGAGTTGAGATTGATAACATCTTTTAATGAAGTTTTGATTGTTTTGGTGAGGTTTGAGGATTCAGAAAGGTTTGAAAGTAGGTTTAGATGGAAAGCAAGGGGAAGGGAAACAGGAAGGACAAAGGGATTAAAAAGGTTACTTTACTGTCAATCTGATTGTACTTTAGCTTTCTTCATTTCGCTTAAACGGTAATCATCTTATTACCGGAGTCATCATCATATTACCGGATTATCATCATTCAAATTCATTTCATTCATTCATTGTTTGTCTTTTTTTTGGTACATGATAATTCATTTGGACGTGTATATGCTGAGCATGAACTTGTGTTCACCAAGAATCAAAGCAGCGAATCAAGATCTCATGACTTTATGCCTGGTGAATTTGATGTGCTACCCACATTTTGCAGACGGCGCTTCCTGTGGAATGTTGGAAGGCAGTTGAAGGAACTATGCGAGGGAACTATGGAGTACACACTCATACCAGATGTGGTTATAGGTGGTTATTCTGAGTCTTTTGCTTACTCTTTCCCAC